GGACCCCTGGTCACAACTCTTCGGCGAATTTCGTTCAGCACTGAAAAAAAAACGGAAAAATCTTGGTTCCCACATTCCCACGTTATCATGAAAAAAGTCTCACAATAACGTGGGAACGTGGAGCCAAGATTTTATAGGTGGTCTTTCGGGAGTTATCCTTGGTAGCGAATCGTCGCTTTTACTGCCGGCTTGAAGGTGTTCTCGATGATCGCCACACTCAAAGCGTTATGCGTGAGTGGCTACAGAGCGTCACTTTCCCACTCTGAAATGGCGCGGGAAGGCGTGAATGGAGGGGCAGCGCATACCCGATGCGTTTCGCACAGCCACCAGCCACCCACACGCAACCTATAGCCAAACGCTGTTACGCCCGTCTCCACAGTTTTCTATCTCTATCTGCGTTGTCACTTTGGTATCGACGCGATCTTGCACTTCGAGGATAACTCGGGCGGAGTATGGAAACCACCCAAGTATCAATTCCATCCAGCCTCGTCCCTGCACTTTTGAGCAAGAGAAGTGGGTAACCATTCATCTCGCACAAGAACCTCTAGTGTTGGGGGGGGGTGGGTGGACTGTTTGTCATTGCCTTTGTCATCACACGTAGCGTAATCGAGTAGAGTAGGTTGGGTGTATAGTGCTGTTCTCCCTTCTTGGCAAGCGTTGCAACCAGATGATGTGCGCAGTACTCACAGCAAGGACCGGTTCACACTGTGCGCATGTGGCGCTGTAGCTTTAGGTTTCGCTCTTTGAGAGGGCCCACTCAGAATAATCTATTGATTCCAGCTAGGAGCTGTTGGATCGTATGTTTTGAATAAACTGAAAGTGATGCCGTGAATTTTGAAAAAAATTTTTTTGAAAGTCCATTCCTTAGCTGGTGACGTACGAGCTCAGTGGCTGGTCCATGGCTGCAGCACCTCCGCTTCTTGAGGGTGGAAAAATCTTGATTCAAAGCCATGCAAGCATGAGCAGTGCGAATGAACCGAGATTTGGTTCACACTCTTCTATGCTCCCTTCCAGTGCGGTTTTTGAACTGGCTTATGTTCTGAACTGGGTGTCTTCTTGAATGAAAACCAATGGGAGCTGAGCTTCTTGTGTAAAAACTAATGAAGCTAAGCTCCGCAGGTGAGAGTGCAACAAACGATGAATCTTTAGGCCAGTCCTGAAATCTCGTCCTCTTGCAGATATCTCCAGATGATGAGCAGTGCACATGATAAAGACACTTCAAGGACCATCTTGCAGTACAGGACCTGGTTTTTTTCTCATGGCTGGGCAAAAACGTGGGCTTTTGGCGGCAATTAGAGCTGTACCCTAGTAGTCTGTGGCCTCAAAGGCACACCTTCGACAAAGCTTGTCACGCCCGTGTAATGTACGAAGCGATTGTGAGTTGCCAGTTTGCTGTTGCTCCCACAACGAATTCCTGGCACTTCCGGGGAACGGTGAGGAGTGGCAGGTGTGTTCCACTGAGCACGACGCTGTATCGTACACATTATTACCCCCAGCTGATCGCACATGCTGACGGCTGGTCAGCAAGTGGAGTGCATCCGCCTTCCGGCCTGCAGGCACGTTGTGCTTGAAGCTGGTGAAGGGTCTCGCCTCCCTGCCAATTTTTGCAAGGTCCTAAGTGACCGGCAATCCTGGATCCACTTCTGGGGAAGCTCAACAGCAGTCTATTTATAGGCTCAAGATTTGTCACGCACGGATTCCCATGATCCAAAAAAGCGCCAGCGGTCTCACCCCAGACGAAGGTCTCTCCCTTGGATGAGCGCCATTCGTGTTGGTAGCATTTCATGGTGGCGTTTCTACTTATAACAGCCTTGTTTTCTGCGTTTTCTGGCTCTTGCTTTTGCCTTTTTCTTCACTGGCGAGTGCCTTCAGCAACTTGAGCAGTACACTGGTCAGTCCAGCAAGCAGTGAATGCATGAAGCGTTGAGGCTTTCATTTCATGGAAGAAGCGTGTAAAATGCATGGTGGGACGGATACGGCCAATTTACGTAAGCGATCCGTCATACTTCGCGATTATTTGGCTATGATCGCGCGAGTCGAGCGATCAGAGCGACTTGCGCTTCTGAATGCACTTCAACTCAGCTCTAGCGGTATGCATATCAAAGGCATGCGGCACGATAACTTAGTACTCGGTCCAAATGCTAGCAAGGTACTGTGGGGAAAATCGCGAAAAAACAGACCGAAACGATCAAAAACCTGTAAAAAGTCTCCTTTCTACGCGAGCCGGCAAGAAATTCGGGCGAGTTTCCCGTAGGCGTCTTGCCGATAACCGCTACGGTAGGTACGGCTGCACTTATGTACTCATATGTCTGCGTAGCACCGCAGCTCTATATCGGTCCCCTCGCTCCAAACTGTACTTCAAAAAATGGAGCGATACGAGCATTAGCATCGGTACAGGCGCGTGGGCGCATCCGGGTCGGTATGCTGCAGCTTTATAGGGTGCTATAAGGGTACCTTCCTTGGAGAAAGGCGCCACGCAGTGCCTGTTCAGGGGCGCCGAGTCCAGTCCTGTTAGGCATATTAATCCTACACGTCTTAGGGGCCAGCTGCCTTTATGAGGTGAACAGCCCACACATTTACGGCAGGGCTGTAATTGCAAATGACGTTACTGACAGACTGACGTAGGGGTTATGTTTTGGACGAACAGATGGCCATCGGTTCCAGAAGACCGTAGCGGAATTTCTTCCCACTGCGCATCCTTCCTTCCAAGGACGTTATTCCCATTATTGCTTGCTCATTCGGGAAATGTAAAGGGTGACGGAAAAAGAGACTTCACCCGGACACCAATGAAGCCTATGTCGCACAGTGTGGTGCGGTTAATGATAAAGAATAAGGATGAAGGATAAAGTCTCCGCTGCTGATCAATTCTTTTCTGGGATGCGCCATGCATTCTACTTCCACTTGGCATCGTAATGGCTCATCGAGTGCGTGTGGCCCATAAAATGAGTTTCGGGGAAAGGGTGAGTGTTCTTATGCTCCCAAGCGATTCTGGCACCAATTTACCATCCCTGGAGCGTAGAAGGCTTGAATGACCTGGGCAGGAGCCAATTCCGGAATTAGACGTCCTTCGCGTGATAAGCACTTGCAGTTGCCACCACACCGTCTCCTCTTAGAGTAAATGATATTCTGGTACTTCTGATTTAACTTTTACGGTACTTTTTCATTGGACTCCGAGATCTCTGATCCATGTGCCTTGCGCTGTGAACACTGCTGGTGCCACCCAAATCTTTCACTGCCACTCCTCTCTTCGATCCTTCCCTGCGGTATAGCGATTGCGTTGATGAGGACTTGAAACTTGTTAGATTAGCTAGTTTGATCGACATCGAGGTAACCTCCATCGCTTCCAAAGTGTGGTTTGATCTCAGTGAGGTAACTTGTATATGATTTCAATTCAATTACGATCACTCCAGGGGTGCCACGCTTCCGATGAGAATCACTGAAACAGCTCAACGAGGTCTTCGAGCAGCACTCAAAGCTTCTACGCATCAGAAGGACTTCTATTGGATAGGTTCCTCTTTGCTCTATATTTTTAGCGATTACTTCCATCCACCAACTGGTCTCATCCCTTCTTTCTTTATATCTCGCTAACCATGACAATTTTATACCCCCTCCTGAGCCTCTCAAAATTTTCTAGGCTCCATCTTGCACTACATGCACGTTTTCATTGTTTTGGAAGTAAATGTTGCTCTGTATAAGCGCTGTGGTCAAAGAGAGCCTCAAGGGATCGGGCCATCCCCGGGTTAAAGCGGGTGAGCGCGTAACAACAACCTGCTGAAACAACGCGGTAGACATACTGCAGCACCTTTCCGAAAGATTACCGTGGTCCTGCGGTAAATCGCCACGCATAAGACACTAAGTTCATGGCTGCTTACAGGGTAAGGCTGGGCGAGCGGCAGGGTCGTATTTGGCTCCCAAATTTTTTCCGCGTGATTTTTCTGTTTCAGGCGCTGTATCGGGAGAAGACTGGAGGGGGGGGGGGAGGGACGCCTACTTATTTTTTTCGACGCTCTTAGAGAGGGGCGTACCTGTCCTTAGGATCTTCCTACAAGTTGGGGGCGCCGCCAAAGCCCTATACACTTCTTTACTGGATCACTTGCCAAGAGTTAGACTTTTTTAGGGGGCCTTCCCTTCCACCTCCACACCCCGCCCCTCCTCCTTGCCCCCGGCTCACCAGAAGGCAAAATTCCCGAGGAAAAGCCTGTAAAGTTTTGGGAAGTTATAGGAAGTTCGGAAAAGTCAGTAACATAATTACAACATTAGGTATTATGAGAAAATGAGGAAGGGTTACCCGGGCGCCTTCGGATTAAAAAATGTCTCTAAGGACAGGGACGTGCCTCAGGACGAGGTTACTAGCGCAGAACGATCGGGCCACTACATGGATCTCCATATTACCACTCCGTTGGCACCGCTTTAGTCCACACCCAGTGGCAGGTATCCGTCTCGAAAATCTTCTAAGTCCTTAGAGTGTGATATCATTAGATTCACTCCAACTTGTTGTTTTTTTCGCGCTAAATTCCCTTTCATAGAAGGGGAACTTGTATCTGCCCTAAAAACAGCAGATTTTTAGGAGTACTTGCTTGCGCTGACTAATTGGCGGATGGGCTGATGGAACCAGTGGGTTTCCGAGTGAGGAAGCTTGACTGCGTCTGGGTCTTCTACTTCAACTCAGTCGAATTCGGCCGGTCAGGCGATACGCTTCTGGCCCGAGTTGCTGAATGGAAATGGATCCCGTCGGCGCAAAACGTTTGGAACTCATTTCTATGCCAAAGCAGTAAGTTATTCATTGCTGAGAGCGTCAGGGCTCATAGTTAGATAGTGAATTCCTCATATTGAGTGAGGTAAAGTTCGAGTTCTGCTTCGAAATTGCTCCAAAAGCCGTCCTTTTATTGTTGATGCTGCTCTGGTCCCTTCGATCATCTGATTAACCAGCTGGCTTTTCTCAATGAATTGAGTTCGTGCTCATTTAGGACCAAAATCGTGCACGTTTCCTGGTATCAGCGATGCCGGACGGGTATCATTCACTTCGCCAAACTTCGCAATTGGGACGCGAGCTGTGTATTCGTGCGAGATGGGGTGAGTTTGCGCTTGTAATGGAGTTCTTTGAATGGAAAGGCAAACGGACGGCTATTTTCAGCTACGAACTGAACGGTGATGTTGAACGAATTTGCGACGAGACGGCCCGATGGAGCGGGACCATTCCAAAGTGCCAAAGTACGTTCAGGCCTTTTCGGAGCTCTTCAACAGGAGCCTCCACAATTACAAATTGACTGAATGTTTTTTAGAGAAAAAGTGCGACAGCCTTGAGATCTTTCATGGTGGTGGAATCGTTCGACTACTTAATGACACAGCTGAATTCGGCAATGAGGTCCCACTGAAGTTTTTCCTAAAGAGGAACAATCGATTGATATAAAGCTCACTTTCAGATCCAGTACGAATGCCTTAGTGGTTGGAAATTGATGGGCGAGGAGAGGAGGCGATGCCAACATGACGGCACATGGAGCGGTGAAACACCCTACTGTAAAGGTCCGGAAGCTCGCGATTGAATAGTTTGAGTTTCATGTAAAGTTGCTAGTCATAGTTAAGAGC